AATTTCTAGAATTTTCCATCTAATATCTTCAGACTGAGGCTAACAGTGGGTCACTGAAACTGCAGAAACCAAAGCTGTGGCTAGATAGGAGAGGACTCCTAAAAATAAAATTAGGCCAGTGTGGAAAATGCTATTTAGAATCTTTACACTTTGAAAACTGTAAGACACCTCAGAGGGGATATTCATCTATAGAATACCCCAATTTAAGAAACATTCACTTGGCATCTATGAGGCAGCCAAGCAATCGAAACAGGGGAGACAAACTCCCTTCCTTCTAGGGAAGTCATCTAAACCGGTCATAAACAATGGGATAAGTGGCTCTAACTGAAGGAACAAAAATTACGGGAAGGAAGAACAGGGAGAGGGTTGGTGTTTCCCAGGTCGCAGCTAGAGCAGAGAGAAGTGATGGCAGGGAATGGGCTTCACCAAGGTGGGGTAGGACGAGATCGGTCCAGGACTTCTCTCTTCCACACTCCAACCTCCACTTCCTTTCTCCTCAACACACTATGGTTTATTTGTGTTAGCCACTTCACTGGCTCCAGTCAACTCTCTCCAAGGGTCTCTAAGGAGACCCTCCAGCTCTCCTTAGATACATCACGGACTCTCCTGCCATCTTGCCTTTGCTCACGCGCCCTATCAGAAATGCCCTTCCCACCCCTGCCAGTCTAGCAAACTCGTATTCATCCTTTCAGGCCCCACCAGCCCCTCAATTCTATAAAATGGCTCCCTCTCTCACATTTCTTCAGCACCTCAATGGTGTTTTCAATGCCCTTCTTATGCCCTATTATTTTTAGCTGCTTAATGGTCTGTGTCTGTTACTAAATTATATGCTTCTTAAGAGCACATTTCAAAGCTTAATAGACACAGAGGTGACCTGGAAGACTCCAGGAATGTTTGTTGAGTGAACAAATGGCCAGTGCATCAGGATCAGACAGCAGCCATTAACGGCAGGAGAGAACACGGCTCAGTTAAAAAGCATTCTTCTCTTTTACAGAACGTATCTTGAGTAAAACAGAAAAATAAAGAAAGAAAACACAAAAGAAATAGGGAAAAAATTAAGGGAAAAACTAAACCAAAAAATAGATAGTTTTTTTTTCTTTGAGAGAGTCTCACTCTGTGACCTGTGGCATCACAGCTCACAGCAACCTCAAATCCCTGGGCCCGAGCAATCATTTTGCCCCAGCCTCCTGAACAGCTGGGACTACAGGCATGGGCAACAACACCCAGCTACTTTTTGTATTTTTAATAGAGATGGGGTCTCACTCTTGCTCAGGCTGGTCTTGAACTCCTGAGCTCAAGCAGTCTACCTGCCTTGGCCTCCCAGAGTACTAGAATTATAGGTGTGAGTCACCATGCCCGGCCAAAAGTATAATTCTTTACCATGCCTGATTCCCAAATATTATACATGCAGTAAGTGTCCAAATGAATGGAAACTGTGGCATCCCCTCCTCTGAAGCCGTTTCATCCATCTGGATGAAGCTATAAAAGCCCAACCACTTCAACTATCTAAAAAAGGAGTCTATGCACCACTGATTACCGGAAATGGCTTTTCAGTAGCCAGGCCTTCTGCCTGCCACGTGCTATGATAGAAAACTGTGTAGGGCATGGGGTCACCACACAGCATTCAGAACGGATGCCCTCTCGCAAAGACGGTGGGGATCTGTCTATCTCAGCGGTTCTCAACCTGTGGGTCGTGATCCCTTTGTGGTTCTCAACCTGTGGGTCGTGGCCCCTTTGTAACAATGAAAATACATTGTGACATTAGGAAGTTTGAGAACCACTGGTCTATCTGTTAGGTCCCTTGCTTTGTTAGTATCATGATTCTTTGCCAGAACATGGGATTTATACTGCAGATGAATAAAGATTAAAAATAAATAAGTCAGGGCAGTGCCTGTGGCTCAAAGGAGAAGGGTGCTGGCCCCATAGGCCAGAGGTAGTGGGTTCAAACCCAGCCCAGGCCAAAAAAAAAAAAAAAAACCTGTAATAAATAAATAAATAAGTCACTAGATGAAATAATTTCTCAAGCACCATTTCCAGATCTTCCCACTGTCAATTCTGGTTTCCTTGCCTGAGGCTATCATCTCCTGGACATTTATAAATCTGATCTCTGATGCCACAAGTGGGTCTACAACCTTATCACGGCAGGTCTGGGTTTCATGCTGTTTTGATTATGTTCTGATTCGATGTCATACTGAACAGTCATCACTTTCTAAGATATTAAAAAATTGGGGAGATCCAGGGAAGGAACAGGTAGATAAAGCAAGGAGAAAAGAAGTGATGGATATAAGAAAAATTAAAAGCACAATGCCCCAAATATGCAAAATAGCAATAGAATTTGAAGGTTCACGCAAGAGTAAAGGGAAAGGCTATTATCTAAATCAAAATAATTACTTGTGATTATGATGATTCTCTGAATGAAGAAGCAAAACAGAAGCAGATACATCTATGCATATTTTAATATTTTAATGATAAAAGGAGATATTAATGTCAATCAATTTTTTATGTTTTTTTTTAAGAGAGACAGGGATCTTGCTATGTTGCCCAGGCTGGCCTCAAGCAATCATCCTGTCTCAGCCTTCCAAGTAACTGGTACTACAGGCACAAGCCACTGTCCCCAGAGAATTATTATATTTTTATAAGTCATATGACACTGAGTAGAAATATCACTGTATCATTTTAACGGAACATGATAAATGAATTTAATAAATCAAAATGACAATTTTTACTAAAAAGGAATACCAATCCTGTAAAAACTAGCATTTTTCATTTCACCATTAAAATATAGCACTGATATGTTAGGCTGTCAGAATAAAAAAACATAGGCAAAGCACTTATGAATAAAGTGGTTGTAATTTGGTGGTGAAAAAAACCTATTTCCTTATAGTTAAAAATAGAGTGAAAGGATAGGCAGGCAGAGAACAGTTGAAAGTGTGTCTGGAAAGACAGGTGGGAGTTGTTCTCCAACTCATCTCCAACAATGCTCACATATGGACTTTATCCTAGGGGCAGTGAGGATCTGGGGTGGTGGAAGGCAGGAGCCTCCAGGGCAGGTGGAAGTCTGAAGGGGGAGGAGCCGCAGTGGTAGATTCAGACCCAGGGCCTTGGGGAGTAAGACAGTATTTTCAATCTTTTTTTACCTCACAGCACATGTGAACCTTCTGTGGCACACTTAAATTATGTTGATCAAAAAAAAAAAAAAGAAAGAAAGAAAGAAAGAAAGAAAAGAGTAAACTTTTACTTACTGTGCTTTGAACTTCTTCTGAAAATAATTTATTTA